TTTCAAGCTAATAACCTTAGGTTCTTAGGAATAAAGCTTAGGGTTATTACTTTTTAAGTATTCTCGTGAATGAAGTTAGAGTTACTATTTCAAAATATAATTGACAATTTTGCTGCTTGTGGCAATAAGGTAGCAGTTGCAGTATCTGGCGGAATAGATAGCATAGTTTTGCTGCATTTAATAATTAATTGGACGAGGAAAAAGAATTTTTCACTTCCTACAGCATTAATTGTAGATCATAGGTTGCGTCCAGAATCTCAGGAAGAGGCTAATTTTGTTTCAAATTATGTAAAACAACTTGGGGTAGAGTCATTTATATTAAATTGGGAAAGGCAAAGTATTGCAGGCAATATTCAATCCCAAGCAAGAAAAGCACGGTATAGATTACTAACAGAATGGTGCACAAACAATAATATTGAATATCTATTTGTTGCTCATCATAGAGATGATCAAGCGGAAACATTTTTGCTGAGATTAGAACGCGGTAGTGGCATAGATGGACTATCATCTATGGACTACAAGTCTTTTTCTCACGGTATTTGTATACTAAGACCGTTATTAGATTTTAGCCGCAGTGATATTGAAAAGTATGCAAAGTTTTATCAACTAAAGTGGGTTGAAGATAGAAGCAATCAAAATTTAAAATATAAACGCACTTTGTATCGTAACTTACTTAATGCAAGTGATAACCAAGACATTTTAACGCAACGAATATGTCTTTCTGCTCTTCACATGAAAAGGGCTGTACAAGCGTTAATGTACTATACAAGACTTGCTTTTGATAATTGTGTTAATATACATGATCTTGGCTACATTGAAATCAAACCCAATGAATTTTATAAATTACCGGAGGAAATAGTTCTCAGAGTTTTTCTTTATTCCATTATGGCAATTGGCAATAGACGCTATAAACCACGATATAATAGTCTGACTTTCATATTTAATAAAATATTGTACAAAGATTGTGATATCGACCTCACTTTTTCTGGATGTAAAATAAAGAAATACGGAGAAAACATCTTAATCATCAGAGAATCATCAAAGATAGAAGCAGTATCTGTAAATTTACCTGACAATAAACCTATACAATGGGACAATAGATTCAGTTGTACAATACTTGGAAGTCACAAATGTCAAGTAACTATTGCTCCATTAAAGAAGACACAAAAAATCCCTAAATCTTTGAGGAAATACAGCTGTTGTCCTGAGGTTTTATATTCTTTACCTGTAGTACAAAAGGATGAAAAAATACTGGCATATCCTTACATGCATCATAACACTGATAATGTAGCAAAGTATATTATTAGCTGCACAATAAGAGAAAATTTGATTAACCATTTATTAACTTGAGAAATTAGGTGTACAGCTTCTATTA